TGAGGTTATTCACTTCATTTCCAGCGCACAATGGCCACCAAAATCTCCGGATACCAATCCGTTAGACTATTGCGACTGGAGTATTTTGGAAAGCAAGGTTGGCACTAACAGATACCAAAGTGTCGATCACCTCAAGCAAGCGCTTCTCCGGGAATGGGACAAAATGCCGCAGAGCATCATTCGGACAGCGTTTGATGGTTTCATTGACCGTTTGAAGACCATAATTCGTGCGAAAGTGACCAATTCGAACATATCTGAACTTATTCTAAAATTTGATGCTATTTCTGAAATTTTTTGCTTTCATTTAATAAAATTTAAAGAAAGGAAAAATTATGGCGGTTGACTTTGTTGCAGTTTTTTTTATCTCATCCTTTTATCCTTAACCCGATGTAAGGTTTATTGTCCGAATAATGGCTAATATCAACCCAAATGCAGCGAATTTAGGGCTTACGTTTCCATTCCGATATATTTTTTATATCCTTCTCGAAATGATATCTTGAACTCTAAAGCAATCTTACTTGATGCAAATTTCTACGTCAAGTTTTGTGAAAATCGATTCAGAATTTCTTATGCCTTCTAAGTTATAACTTCCTTAAAGTCAAAGGTTTATACGTGGTATGATCTACTTCAAAAAAATCCCCAATATAAATTATTTTGTTGCGGGAGCTGTAATAAGTTGAAGTTGAAGTTATATTTCAATTCTATTTGAGACCACAAAGTAGCTGATTTAAATTCTTGTATTTTTTTTTTCAAAATTCCAAAAAAAAAAAAAACAGATTTACTTGGCAATTAGCATTAACCCTGGTCAAATGTGAATATATATTTAACGTGTTATTTAGAATTTATGGCTTGGCTGATATTATCGACTGTGTGTATTTTTCTTATCGTTATGGTCATCAAACTAATAAATATGCAACTGATGTAGTAGAAGCGTGTGGCAATTGTGCAACAAATGCTAGACAATATAAAGCTGACAAAAAAAAAAACTGTTAATTACACCAAACATTTTGAGGGTTATTCCAAGAAATCAAAAAACTTAAAAAAAAAATGTTTTGATGGGCAATGAAAATTTACAGACACCGAACAAATTAATAGTGCGCTGAAGTATATTCAAAACACAACGCTTGAAAAAAGAGGAGAAACATGGAAAATTCACAATTATTGCCCGAATGTGTTGACAAAGTGGACAGCCAAAAAAAGTGACACATTTTGCTCATCAGCCAGCCCACGTGTAAATAAAATGTCAAAGTTTTAGTTCGGCGATAAAAAAAACGAATAGACATGACAATATACAAACAGACATAGGAGTTAATGGATATAATGAAATGTTGACCAGTTTACGAATAACAAAAAAGCTCATTTATGCTGTTTTTAGGACCGTATTTTCTCGATGAATATCTTGCAATTTTTTTTTGTCTTTGAAGATGGTAATATTTCAATTTTTCGATTGCAAGTTATGTACAAAATTGTAATGTTTAAAAATAGGTCAAATAGAGGAAATCATATATTTCTACAAAAAAAAAAAAAAAAAAAAAAAACAGTAAGAAAAGCTCAAAAGTCGGGCGTACTGAATCATATATATGGGAGCAAATTTGAAATTCTGCTTCTATGCTAAATTCGGTTGAAGCGCGAAAATCCATTAGGACTAATATTAGCCATTTGGTGCACAATAAACCTGAAATCGGATAAAGATATGGAAGTTATATCCAAATCTGAACAGATCTTTATAAAATTGAAAACAGCTATTTCTTGGCTGAATCTAATATCTGGTACCAAATATCATTTCTATGGGATGTATATTACAATTGTGTATTATGTATATGTGTATATTGTATTAAACACCAAATCGGATGAAATATATATATGGGAGCTATAGCTATATCTGAACCGATTTCACCGAATTTAAAGCACTTATTTCTATACTAAATTCGGTCGGAAGTGCCAAAATTCACACCATTTGGACTGATATTAGCCATCTGGTGCACAAGAAACCTATAATCGGATGAAGATATATATGGGAGCTATATCCAAATCTGAACCGAAATTGATACAATTTGATCTGTGAATTACTAGGCTATGTCTGATATCTGGTGCTAAATATCAGTCTTGTGCAGCGCATATAACGAATGTAAGGGATTTAAATACCAAAATCGGATGAAACATATATATGGGAGCTAAAGCTATATCTGAACCGATTTTCACCAAATTTGAATCACATGTTTGTAGGCTGAATTCGGTCGGATGTAGCGAAACTCACACCATTTGGACTGATATTAGCCATTTGGTGCACAAGAAACCTATAATCGGATGAAGATATATATGAGAGCTATATCTAAATGTTGACCGATTTTCACCAATTTCAATAGGGTTCGTCCTTGAGCCAAACAAAAGTTATTTAGAAAATTTCATCTCAATCGAATAATAAATGCGATCTGCATTTTGTTTACAAAAATACATGGACAGACGGACGGACGGACATGCAAAATTGACTCAAAATGTGATTCTATGCTGATCACCAAGAGGATCTATGGGTTTATTTCGTTTCCCTCTCCATGTTACAAACAAATGCACAAAGACATAATACCCTTACCACTATGTGGTGTAGGGCATAATTATCATTTACTTGGAATACTCCTGCGAAAGATATAACATATATAAGACTAGTAAGTGCGTGCTACTTCGTCAGCCAAAAGTCCACACTACAATTTTAGATTCGTTCCAACATTTAGGCCTTTTAGGTTTTAAAATCCAATTTTTTTTGTTCATATGTTGTCCTAATTTTCAGACTTTCAATTCTGAAAGTCAAAATTCTCCTTTATTTGATAAACTTAGTTTTATGTTGTGGAGCTATATTCAAATCTGAACCCATCTAGGAAAAAAATATTTCTAAGCTGTCTCAGATCTCATTTACTGAGTATCATTCTTATGAGGGGCATATTACGGTTTACGGAGCTATATTCAAATCTGAACCCATCTAGGAAAAAAATATTTCTAAGCTGTCTCAGATCTCATTTACTGAGTATCATTGTTATGAGGGGCATATTACGGTTTTATGTGGCTAAAATCTCAAATCGGATGAAATATATATGGAAGCCAAAGCCATAGCTGAAGCGACCACATTCAATATATTAACTTTGTAGAGAACTGGGGAATAATTTATAAAAGTTGTGAAAATCGTGTATTTATTTCAGATTTTTCGAGAATTATGATTGTTCAAAAATTTGATACTTTGTTGGGGAGAGAGCCAGTTTTATCCATTTCCGGACCTGATCTAAGGTTTATACAAATATTTCGATGCATAAAGTGTCATCTAAATCGGATACTGCCTGCGATCTTTATAAGATTAATAGTTTTTATACCCTCAGCCATATGGCTAGACATTTTAGACATTTACGGTTCAGGTCATTTTAAGTCTACCTTGTGATGTCCGTCCATTCGTCCGCCTGTCTGTATTTCGGGCTGGCTGAAGCGCACGGTTACGATTCCAAACGATTCCGATTTGGTCCAAACTTAGTACATCGTAATATTATTGTTAAACTTTGATCGAGTTCGGAGATGGACCATATCGGTCCATTCCTTCTGGTACCGATCCCACAACAGGTCGAAATTTTCAAAAAAAAAAAAAAAAAAAAAAAAAAATGAAAAAAAATACAAGTATGAAGCGGGCCGGACTTTGAATACCTTCCACCATTTAAAACGAATTTGAAAATTGTCAAAAAAAATCTATAAAAAATTGTCTGTTAAAATCTTGAAAATACTGAATATAGCCGTTATATTGGGGCCCATACTAAGACGTGGGCCTGTATAGGCAACTTTTGTCACAACCAATTACTATATTCAAATACGAAACTTGTAAAAAACATGCGGTGAATAATGTAGCTGAACTCATCAAAATACCGAATATGGGGCGGTACCGTTATATCGGGGCTATACGAAGACTTGGATCTGCATAGACAATTTTCTGTCACAGGCTGTGGTACCTATTAGGAACTTTAAATAATAAATTTCAAACAATTTCGATGAATATTGTACCTAAAAACATCAAAAATACCGAATATAGGGAGGTACTGATATATGGGGACATATACGAAGACCAGGACCTGCATAGACAATTTTCTGCTACAGGCTGTAGAACCTATTAGTAACTTCAAATATGAAAATTCAAACAATTTCGGTGAAAAATCGTCAAAATACCGAATATAGGGTGATACTGATGTATGGGTCCTATACAAAGACGTTGGCCTGCATACACAATTTTTTGTCATAGTCTATAGTACCCATTACGAATTCTAAATACGAAATTACATACGTTGTATGTGGGCTATACGATATCGTGGACCTATATAGACATTCCACTTCAAGAACGTAAAGTGCTTAAACATAGACATAACTTCTATTTTTAGACAATCCCATTGAAAAAATTGGCTACAGTCAACAAAGTACCGAATATAGGGTGGCACTCCCTTTGTGGATTTTCAGAAAATTTCATTGGAAAACTTGGCTACAATCAACAAAATACCGAAAATCGGTGGATATCGTTACATGGGGGCTTTACGATATCGTGGACCGGTATAGCCCATCGTCGAACTTGACCTACATGCAGAAAAAAGACTTTTCTGTGCAGAATTTTAGCGCCCTCTCTTTATTCGTTTTGACTCTAGCGTAATTACAACAGACGGACAGGGAAAATCGTCGAGAAGTCGCATTTGTGGATTCCAGAGTTTGAAAATGTTGTCGAAATTAAAAAGGCATTTTGACCATTAAACACAGATTAAGAGTTACTTTATTCGAAGAATTTATAATTTTCTTCCAAAGACGACTGAACTTAGGATATTATTTTGTGATCAGATTTGCATATACCTGTGGATCGAATATGTTCATGTACAAAAAGAAGTTGTTCCAAAAAGAAAAAATATATAACATTTTTTTATCACGAAAGGATTGTTTTCATTTCAATTTTCCTTTAAAGAAATAAATAATAAATAAATTCGAAAACTTACCTCTTCAACTTTTTTGTGCACCATATTGGGGAACATGAACCAACCGCAATAGGCGCCCAACACGGAAACCACAATGCCAGCAAATGCTCCAAGGAGAGGCCAAGGTAGCGATAGTTTAAACATGATGATTACTGTTGTTTTTGTGGTGTATGATGATGATAATTTGAAGTTTCAATTCAAAACACAATCAAAATATTGCACTTAAAACGTACCGATGGAAAATAGATCATTGAATATTTGTATGGAATTTCCACTTCCTCTTCTTTTTCTTATTTCGTTATTTACAATTTTGCTATTTCTTTGCACTTTTACGATATTTTCCTTTGAACTGATTTTTTTTGATGTCTATTTCAAATAACACATTTAATTTCCGAGTTAACTACAGTTGTTACAATTGTTTTGAAATAATGTCAAGTGTTGAAGTGACGTACAAAACATACGAATCACAGCTCAAAGAAACGGAAACCAAAAACTAAAAGAAGTCATAACAAGATCTCCCAAAAAATTTTTTTTGGATGTGGAGGGATTGTGGTTTGGGTTTTTGTGTTTTTTTTTTGTTAACGGCAATGAAATTGGTCAAGTTTGGTAAAGAAAACGACACTTAAGCCAAAACTTGTTTTCGTTGTTGTGGTTGTGTTTTTTACAAATTGTGTTGTTGTTGTTGGGTGTTTTTTTTCTTATACGCTTGAGCGCTTGAGTTTTGCGTTTGCTGATATTGACCAAACCAAATTCACCAAATGGCCAAGAAACGACCCAGGCATTGATTGGAATTTTTGTTGTTTTTGTTTGTTTTTTGATCGAAGGGTTAAATGCAACAAATCAAATGTTGTTGTGACCAAAGCACAGCTGTAGTAGGTGTTATTTGGAGATTTTTGTGAGGAGTTTCTTTCTCGTCTCGTTCGTTTTTGTTTTGGCAATTTATTAAATGGCCATATTTGATTAGATTGCAACACTGTGACTTATTTATTTTTTTTTTCACTCCATGACACCGGTAATGGTTTCGAACTTAATTTGGATTTTTTGACTCTAGAGAAATCCAGACTTGATGAGTCAAGGTCACACACCACACATCAGGGTTTTGTCTTCTTTGTTTTTGACACTGGATAAACACTGCTAGTTTAGATCAATTGTTGGAACTGTCCTGAAACGTGACATTTGTGTAACTAACCAACTTTGTGATTATTGTTTTATAGCACCCACTGACTTGCATGAACTGCTCAGGACCAGTGTTATGTCCGAACTTTTAATTACAGCGATGTGTCGTCCAAAGATTGGTATCATCCATCCATCCGGGTTGTAATTAGAAGCACGCAAACATCACAATTACTTTCACCATGAAACGAAACCCATCAATGTCGGTATGTGTGTGGGTGTGTGTGTGTGTCTTTCTCCGTTTTTTCCTCTCCGCCAGGGAAAATACTAATCAATTGAAAATTAATTTTTATCTAAAAAGTCCATCAACATATCAATATTCATTGATTGATGTAATTAATTGGCAACACTTTGAGTAAAAGGGCATTTGAAGGTCGCTCCCTTAAGGGCCATAATAGGCCACAAGAAAAAAAAAAAACCAATCACTTTGTATTTTGTTAAATTGTTTTTATTTTTAATTTTTTCCGAATTCAAGAGGTGGCAACCGATTAAGCGCGTATTTTTGTTTTGTTTGTCCAATCTTTATGCCCTCTTCGGTGTTGTAATCTCTTTGGCTATAATGATCGGGGAACGTGTGTGTTTCGTTTTAAGCTTCAGTTAAGACTAAGTCATCCAAGTTCATCCACAGCGGACAAGAGCAATGGAAACAGCAGCGGCAACGGTAACTACGCCAAGAGCCACTGTCGACCGGCCGCTCTTCTCTGATCATATTTTCGGTTTGTTTGTCTGACTGTCAAACATTTTCGTTGTTCATTCCTTTTTTGGATCTTTTTATATTTCTCTCTTTTATTTGCTGGGTGGAGGGGGGAAGGGCTTGACTTTGCTTACCATCAGCGTCATCTACATCCAATAGCAATTTATAGCAAATAAATTTCATTGGCTTCATTGCACTGTGTTTTGAAACGTAAAATGTGGAAAGGAAATGTTTTATATCCTTCACTAAATGATGGGTGGTGTTTTTGGAGATGATCGTACGATGTTTAGGGCTTGAAATGAACGAAAAACAGAAAATTTTCCTGATTTTGCAGTTGCTCTATAGGCCACAATTATGAACAAATCGACGCGAAAATTTACATGGACATGGACTGGATGGAGACCTATTAATTTGGGGTAAAATACTAACTTTTATGTAAGAAAATAGGAAAATTTCCACAAAACCGCGAATAATTTTAATCACAGCCAAATCACAAATACATTAAAAGACCACTTCTGACCATTACAGTGATGTTAATTGCCAAGAAATCGGATGTAGGTACAATATATATGTAAAAGAATTGATCTTATTTATTCTGCTTATAAATCAAGAACCGCTGGCCCGATTTTCACAATTCCCATCAATTCGGAATGGTCTCTTGCCAGAAAAAGATAAAATCTAAGAAAAGCGCGGAAAAATATTCCAATAAAAAAGTTAATAGCTTTTTCCCCTTTTTTCAATTTTTGTCATATTTTTTATCGCATGCGATTTTTATACCCTCCACCTTGGAAAGGAGGGTATATTAACTTTGTCATTCCGTTTGTAACATCCTTAAATATTCGTCTTAGACCCCATAAAGTATATATATTCATAATCAGCATACAATTCTAAGTCGATTTAACGAAGTCCGTCTGTCTGTCTGTCTGTTGAAATCACGATACAGCCCACATTATTTGACGTAGAGCGCCAAAATTTAGCAGAGCAATTGGTATTGTGTCTAGGATGGTTGGTATTGAAAATGAGATATATCGGTCCACGTTCTGGTATAGTCCCCATATAACGGTACCTCCCGATATTCGATATTTTGATTATTTTGCCACAGTTTTTAACGAATTTGTCTAAAAATTGGTATTTGTTGGTCATAATGAGTTCCAGCTCCGGTGGCGAAACATTGCATGTATGGGTCCATGATTTGGTATAGCCCCCATATAACGGTACCTCCCGATATTCGGTATTTTGATGGTTTTTGCAACATTTTTTCACTGATTTGTGTAAAAATTGGTATTTGTGAGTCATAATGGGTCCTAGTTCGTGTGGCGAAACATTGTATGTATAGGTCCACGTTTTGGTATAGTCCTCATATAACGGTAGCTCCCAATATTCGGTATTTTGATGATTTTTGACTGATTTTTTCACTAATTTCACTGAAAATTTGGTAGTTGTAGATCATAATGGTTCCCAGTTCGTGTGGCGAGTCATTGTAATTATAGGTCCACGTTTTGGTATAGCCCCCATATAACGGTATCTCCCGATATTCGGTAATTTGATGATTTTTGCCCTTTTTTTCACGTATTTGTCTGAAAATTGGTATTTGTAGGTCGTAATGGGTTCTAGCTCCGTTGGCGGAACCTTGCATGTGTAGGTCCACGATTTGGTAGAGCCCCCATATAACGGTACCTCCCGATATTCGGCATTTTAATGGTTTTTGCCACATTTCTTCTAATGTTTCCTTTACCCTAAGGTGGAGGGTATTAAAAGTTTGGCCCGGCCGAACTTAATGTTGTTTTTACTTGTTTCAATTTGACTTACAATTTTGAATTGTAAATTTTTACATCCCCCAAACACTATGTTTTGAAGGTATCATAGGCATATCGCAATTATCGTCCGATCCTCACGAAATTTAGCATGGGGGTAGGGTTAGGGTCAGAATTAAAGCCTACTGTTCTTAAGATGTAAATTAAGAGGTTCAAATGGAATAAAAAAATTAATTTTTTCTAATATTGTAGTCGCTCTATAGGCCACAATTGAAAACTAATCGACACGGAATTTCGCATCAGAAGAGAGTTAAGGAGTGAGTTTAGCATTTTGGATGACTGTAAAATGGACCACAACTTACGTGTGCAATTGTTTTGTATACCTAACAACACTACGGAGTGTGTATTGGCCAAATTTTTCTGGGTCAAAAACCTAAGGGTAACTTCTGGGCAAGGCTCTTTGACTTTATTTCAAAAATGAAATATTCCAAAATGGATTTGGATATATGGTGACTACGAACATATTGTAATATTGTAGGGTATCACATGGTCGGCCCCGCGCGACTATAGCCTTTGCTTACTTGTTTTCAATGGAATTGCCTGAAATTCCACACAAGGATTTCCTTGTGAGTACTTTACCACCTAAAAGAGAATAGGTCCACGATATCGTATATCTCCCATATAACAGTACCCCCGATATTCGATATTTTATTGATTTTAGCCACATTTTTCAATGGAATTGTCAGAAATTCTAAACAAGGAGTTATTTATGGATACTTTACCACCTGAAAGAAAATTGCCTGTAGAGGTTCACGATATCATATAATCCCTATGTAACGGTTCCTCACGATATTCGGTATTTTGGCGATTTTAGCCACATTTTTTATTGGAACTGTTCTGAATTCAATTGATTTAAAATCCACTGAGTACTTCCCCTTCGAAGAAATTTGCCCATATAGGTCCACGATATCGTATATCGATATCTCCTGATATTCGATATTTTGGTGATTTCAATGGAATTGTCAAAAAATCAACAAAAGGAGTTCCTTGTGAGTGCATTATCCCCTGGAAGGAAATTGTCTATATAGGTCCAAGTTTTAGTTCGCTCAGGTAATCGGTATATTCGTGATTTTTGCGACATTATTCATCGGACTGTTTTTATATTTCGTATTTGAAGTTCGGAACCATTACTACAGCCTATGAAAAAAATTACTTATGCAGGACCACGTCTTCGTATAGCGCCGTATAACGATTTTCGTTTAAGCGGTATTTTTCGATGATTTTTATACCCTACACCACAAGGTGGTCAGGGTATTATGTCTTTGTGCATTTGTTTGTAACAGGCAGAAGGAAACGAGATAGACCCATAGTTCCTTTTGATGATCTGCATAGAATCACATTCGAATTGTATGGAATTTTGCATATACACCCAAATTAGGTCTGAAAATATGTATGCCAAATTTGATCGAAATCGGTTCAGATATAGCTATAGCTTCCATATATATTGTTCATCCGATTTGTTATTTTTGTTCACCGCCGCCGTAATATGCACTCTGCAACAACAATATTTGGGGAAATATATCAAATGCAGCTCAGAAATACATTTGCTAAATTTTATCGAGATCGGTTCAGATTTGGATATAGCTCCCATACATAACTTCGTCCGATTTACCTTTTATTGTGCACCACCTCTAAGTTTGTCTTTTACCTCTAAGTTTGTCATTTCGTCAGTTCGTAATAGATACTACAGCATAACACAGAAAATGGGTCATGTAGGTCCACATATTCGTATAGCCATATAGAGACATTATTCACCGGAGTAGTTTCAAATTTGGTATTTGAAGTTCGAAATAGATACTACAGCCTAAGACCGAAAATTGTATGCAGGTCTACGACTTCGTATACCCCCCATATAATGGTAACTCTCGATATTCGGTACTTTGTTGATTTTAGTGGTATTATTTACCGGAATTGTTTCAAATTTATTATTTGATGTTCGTAATGGATGCTAGGCTATAGTATACGAGTTTCGAATTTGAATATGGTAATGGCTCATAACAAAAAATGCTCATATGGTCCACGTCGCATGGACCCCAATATAACGGCTATATTCGTTTTTTTTAATATTTAAACAGATTTTATTTTTTGAAAATGTCCAAATTCATTCCAAATGGTGGAGGGTATTCAAAGGTCGGTCCGGTCGAACTTACTGCTTTATTCACTTGTTTTTAAATGGTGTTTTTACGGATCGGAACCGAATCGGTTTACAAAGAGTAAAAAAGAATACCAAGAATTTTCGATATGATTAATAAACAAGATATAATAAGAGTGTTAGAACAATATAACCTTAATATTTAGTTATAAATAGAATTATAAAGTCAATTTATCTTCACCTCATATAATCATAAAAAAATGAAATTTCGAAATTGAGAGCTATCTATATTTATAATTCACTTATAAACGTAATCTTAAGTAAAGAAACACTTTCGTGTTCTTTTTTTAAGTTTAGACGAAATTTATTATTTTCACTCATCGAAACGCATTAAATGTATTTTTTTTTTCAAAAAAAAAAAAATCATTTTTTTTTAAATAAAACTATTATCATTTCATTTTAGTTGCTAACCACTGTTCATCACTTCTTTGTTTTGCTTTGCATTGCATTCATTTGTTGTTTTTGTTTCGTTTTTGGCCCTAAACACTTGGCCAACATTAAGCGCCAACTGAGCAAAGACAATGTTGTTGAATTTATTTATTGAAAGCTTTTGTTTCTTTGTCAGCTTCAGTGGTGTTTGGTAAAAGAAAGCTTTTTATTGTGGTAGGTCAAAAAAATGGTAATTTTGTTTATAGTTTGATGGCAATTGTACATACCTACAGACATATAGACATACAAACACATCTCTTGACATGGCTTTTAGTTGTTGGTTGTTTAGATCAATGCTTAAATATAAAAGAAATATTGTTATTGGCTATAAAAAAAGAAATTAAAACAAATCTGTGGATTGAATCAATACAAAAA